AAAAAAAAAGGGACAGCCACTGGGGGCTTTAAAAAGGGGGTTCAGAAAGGAGGCCATGGCCCCCAAAATTCCAAAAAAATAAAAACAGATCAATAAGTACTTGATATACAATTTAATTTAATATACACTTTTAAATTTGGTTAGTTTCTTATGATTAATATTAATATGTTTGACGACTGTCGTTTTTAGAGCAATTATTTCAATGCTTGTTGCTATAAATCATTTTACCACGGAAAGAACATTTTGAACATTACGACGGCTTAAAATCTGATTGGGTATCCACAAGATCAGAACTAAAATAACATTTCTGGGGGTACCCACATTTTTTTAATATGAATACTGGACACTTATCATTTCTATGTCTCGTTTCAGTCTTGCTCTCATGCATTTCCATTGGACTTGGACAATTCTTTAAATATAGATTAAGAAATAAATCGATTTTCAAAATATAAGAATCAAAAATTAGATTGTAAATGGATATATATAATATTATTTATTGTAAATGGTTTTATTTTCTAGGCTATGTGTATCTGGACTCTTGGAAATTTGAGTGATTCTAGTCCAGGTGCATGCAAAGTGCTTCAAAGTCAAAATTTCTTTAATGCACTGGTTGATCGCTTACAAAGCTCATCTTGTGATGAAGTTATTTTCAATACCTTTTATGCCTTAAGACTTTTTCTTAAAAACTATATGGATCATTTAAAGTAAGACAAAATTATTTGAATTAATTACTTGCAAGAATAACATGTATAAAACTAATTTTATTTATATTAATAGGTCTGAAGATCTAAATAAGTTGCTACACGCGTGTCTTCAACGGTTGAATATGTGGAAGGAATCATTTTGGATAGTGTATCAAATTTCTTGTTATAATAACATTAATTTGCACCATACAGAATGTATGGGACGTATATTGGACACCTTAAATGAAGATATCATCGATATAACATGTTTAGTACCTATTTTAAGAACATTTGGTAATATTATAGCTCATGATGATACTGGTCATTCAGCATATGTATTTTTTTATGCATTACTACGTGAAGAAGGATCTATTATAAGAAATATTTTAATTAGTAATAGAGATATCAATTTAAATTATGAATGTGCTTGGTTGTTAGGTAATGCTTTTAAAGCATTAAATATTACTGAGCTTAACGGAAATGACCATTTGACGCAGACAGAAACCTTTGATGAAATTTGTAATTACCTTTTGGTATAAATTTATATGTGCTGGCAATGTCCATAAATATGAATTATATATTGATTTTTTTCTTAAATTGTTAACCTAGTTATTAAACTATGTATACACATACTGTTTACTGTTTACTTTTTTTATTTGTGTATGCATTTTTTTATTTTTCAAACTAATTATTAATTAATGTCTGTAACAGTTTTTTTATTTATTTATATTTATCATACATGGTTATTTTTAAATGTATACCAATGTGCACTATATAAAATGTATAGTGTGCTAATTTAAAATTTGTATTTATTTATTTTTATTTTGAAAATTATACAAGACGCATAGCATAATAAGCATAAAGGATATGATATTACATTATTACAAGTTATAACCTACATGGTTACATGGCTTGTTGATATGAGGAAAGAACCATTTATTTGTTGGTGTTATTTTAATGAGAGGTTGTGGTATGTGCTTAATTAATGGTTTCTGAACCATTGTTGCTTGAGCATTCTTGAAATTCTTATTTACAAATAAATAAAACTAAATTCCATACAATACTCTTTAGCATATAATTTAATAATTTATAGACCATTTTATTTACTTTGAATATAATTTAATTACCTACTGTATTTTAATATTTGTAGTTACTCTTTAGATAGTAGTTACTGGTGTTACTGTTACATACTAGTTATAGCTACTATTTCTTCCATGTTTAACTGTGGTTTGAGTGTTTATTTTGTGAGGCCTACGATAGAGTACTGATCATAAAGAGCAATAATCCTCTTAATAATGATAATAGTTGATTATATGAGAAGGAGCTGAGACTTTAAACATTATAAAATTAATATACTTTTATATTTAAAAATTGAAATAGTACATTGTATTTTATTATTATCATAACTTACCAGTTGATTATCATTCGTAAAATAAACATAAAAAATTACGATTTACAATGAAACATGTAGGATATATGGTCGTAACTGCAAAATTCTACTGAAACTATAATGCTTACATAAATTATTTAAGTTAATACTGCTCTAGTTTTAATCAAAACTAACAGGGAAAAGTTTGCCAAAACACAGTAGGTGATATATTATTATGTCAAGTAAATAAAATATAAATGGTTTCTCTGACACAATTTAGAGTTAAATTTTAAAAATGTAATATATTATTAATCCAAGATAAAGGGACCTTAAAAAAATTAACCATACTAAATTTCAAATAAAGAATGATTCATGTGATGTATCTAATTAATAAAAAAAAAACAATTTACATTAATATCTTGGAATCATAATTAATCTAAAATGGAATATACTTGCATTGAAAATTGAATAATTAAAATTTTAAATGTGAAAACTCGGTTATTTGACAATTTGTACCTAGTTTATACTCCATACATTATCATTTATCTGTATTTGTAAGTGGGTCTTTTACAATAATTTTGTTTTATATTGAGGTTTGAGCATTTTTAATTTATGCTATATTATACACCCAAAACTTGTTAAAAAATTGAACTTTTATAAAAATACTTCCACACAAATACAGATGTTATTATCACCTAGTTTCATACCTAATAGGTCATTTCACTCTAATTTTTGAACATGATCTGTTTAGGTTAAATTTGCCATGTTATTCAATTTTAAGACTGAGACAACAAATGCCTGTGTATGGTCGCCTTAAAGCTGTTTTTAAAGATATAGTTGCATGCATAATAGATTAATAGATAATAAAGAAATCAAAAAGTTGTCTGTGATGTAGTTACCTACTTATAGACGTGTAAACTAAATACCTAATAAATAATTGGTACCTATGGTTGCCAAATTCCAAGTATTACAAATTGTTACATTTGAATATTCAATTTCCCGCTTTTGCATAAAGCAGAACTAAGTAAATGTTATGCCTTATAGTTTTTAAAAAGAATTCGAAAACATCCGATCTAGGTATGCCAAATGACAATCATTTAAGACAAACAACGATTGTGATATGTAGGTCCTCGCATATTTATTTTCGTTCCATTCTGCTTATTAAGATATTTTCATAAATATGTCATTCTCAATATTCCCAGATTGACTTTTGGATCGGAGATGAAGATGTGCTCTGAAATCCTAAAGCGGAGATGCACCGCTAACACTAGACAAAGAGACAATATTATACACTCGTAGGGTAAGTGTTTCGCATGGAGAATAAATCATTTTTTAGGTAAGTGTTTTCTTTCTAATCTTTTGAAACTGTAGACCTAAAATAAATATTTTTGTCAGGCAAGCCCCCAGGTGATACTCACCCCCAGACTTAGAATCATTTTAAAACAATTTGTTTTTTTAGGTACAAAATGCGAAATACCTTGAATTATACAACTAATTACTACAACTGTTAATAGGTACTGTTATAGAAGAAAAGTTTTAAAATAGTTAGGTAGGCAGTAGGTAAGTACCCTACAAAGCTATAATTTTTTTGAACAGATTAACATATTGTATTTTTATTTTTTTACCATTGACCAATCAAGTTCATTTTAATAGAAAATCAGTAAAATTATAATTATAAATTAATGTACCTATTTAACAAATGCGGTATACAATATTACAGTAGTCCGACGTAGGTACTACCACCCTAGACCATAGACCTATAAAGAAATATCTTATATTCTATTATAGGTCTATGACTACCACCACGAACTAAGATATATCTTAGTTCGTGCCCGGGTCCTATTTGTTCATACCATAGACCTATTACGAAATTTCTTAATAGGTCTATGGTTCATAGTCTCATACACCAGACGTCCTGTGGTGCTACTTTGATCAGCGCCCTCACTCGTTGACGCCGGGACTACAATCAAGTCCTGTCTATTAGTATCACAGTGTAGTCGCAGGTGTAGTATCAGTAGTATACACGATTTAAGATAGTAGTATACTATCTTAAATCGTGGTACTGCGCATGCGCTGAGACTTGTAACTAAAATAAATTAATGATCGGAACTCGGAAGTGATTGGTTACTACCACAGATATATAAACATACATATATATATAGATATATAAATAGATATATTATATCTGTGGTTACTACTAACCAGAGGTCGCTGTAAATTGCGTCCCATTTAAATTTTTTTATGGGGTACGCAATTTACCGACTCCGACTTACGAGGGACGTGGATTATTCGGCTGCCTTTTTTCACAAACGGCTCCCGTTTTACAAAAAGGTATTGATTCCCAAACAGCTCCAGTTTTTTACAATACAAATTCCTTCACAATTCATACAGCCATACAGGATACAGACTTAGGATTGTCTCAAAAGAGGTGTGTTGTGTTTAAAAATGTGATGTTGTTTTTTTAGAAATAAAATATTTACACATATATGATAGGTTATAATGGTATTGATTAAGAAACTATTGGATTCATGTATTATATATTGTAGGTATTTAAATGAAAAAATGATGATGCAATAATTTTGGCAATTTCCATAGATAAAAGATATTATATTATTTCAATATGACAAATGCACAGATTAACATTGTTACAAATGTTCATATCAAAGAGGTCTATTATTTACAAATTACAATTTGTTCGTTGAAAACCAAAATAGTTATAATTTTGAATTTAAATTATAACAGTGTAAGATATAATTTCAATTATTTTTCCATTTATTAATTTGATTTTATCAATATAAAATATTTCAACTAATTTTAAACTTGTATTGCTACAAATCTATTTGCACCATTATATGATAGGTGCCTACGTCGATACTCGATATTGAGTTATCCGTTATTGTATTAAATTGTTAGGATTTTTTTTCAGAAATAAACACTTCATGTAGGACATAAGGTACATAAGAAAAAAAACTATCTACAATGAATGTCAATAGTTATATTATTAATCTCGATACTGATTAAGACTTTAATATTAGCGGTAATCGTGTTCCTCTTAGACATTTTTTTTTTTGTTATTCTGAATTAAATTTATATTTGAACTTTTGGCGTTTATCCCTATTTATAACGATTCATCGTTAAATGTATTGCATATGTTTTTCGAAAAACTTAAATAATTCCTATTTTACGCCACACGGGTTGGTTAAGTGACTAACACGACCACT